GTTTAAAGAATATTTTTTTCTGTGTTATATGTACAATACACATTGAATATTAATTAAAATATACCGAAAATACTAACTAAGAATTTGATTCCGGGAGAAAAGGTGCCGGGGGGGAGGGGGGGGGGGCTGTTAATCATACTGAATGGCAAACGTATATTAAGTTACGGTGAAGTAAGCAAATCGGACGATTTTAAGTAACCGGTTACTCGCTTAATCTTCCGATCGAGTACCCGGTTACTCGGATGATTTTTGTTCTAGTTTCCGTATTTATTATTAATCTCATCCTTTTACATATTGCTAGAAATAGATAATAGATATTACATATATAAACTTTATTTACAAAAAATACAACCCCCCCCCCCCAAAAAAAAAAACACATCATCTTCGAAGAATTTTTATTTTTTTAATTGTCACTTGAAACGGGGAATTTGTTTTTGTTTAAGAAAATATTTTATCGACACCCAACGAAGATATTTTTGCGATCGAGGTGAATTAAAATATACCTTGTAACACTTTGCAATTTTTGTTGAGTTTCATGCATGTCACTGGTTATCGAATTATTCTTCAATTTTCGGTGATTAAGCATAACAAGATATTTGTACACTGAAAGAAAAACCTAGAGAATTTAGCTAGCGTGCCTCGTAGAGCATTTATCATAAGTAATCTTTCAGTTTACTGGCTAAGATAGTGAGTTTTGAAGCAGGGGTCGTATAGATACTTACATACATAGTGAAAGTTACTTATCAATTCTAGATTTACTAACTTTATCTAGTAAATATACCCAATACCTAGTAAAACTGCTTTTAAGGTAGTGATTGTATGGACAATAAATTTACTAGTCTCCTCAGTGACTTTAACTATTTTTTTTAACAGTTTAGTCCCACCCGTATTCGACAACTCCGACTCACATAAAGTGCAGTTTGACAAATTAAATTTCTAGACAGTCGTTTAACGATATTTCCACGCTTTAGATGTTTGCGGCGGAATCTTTTTTAAGTATGTTCTACTGACTAATACAAGTCTAAATGTGGTATCCGGTAATTATAAATCGTCTTCAAAACGTGTACCCCCTAGTAATTAAAGCCATCAATTAATCTAATCAAAACAAATCGATCCTATTTATGAACCGCCAGAGCAAGCCTAACGGTAATTAACTTAGGGAAATGTGTTAAAGTGCATTTACAAATAACATGAAAATTATTTTACAAGTATTTACTCTGAAAAATTTATTTTTTTTTCGAGTAACCGAATAGCAGTTTTACTAACCGATACTCTCATCGTTCGACGGTTAACCGGTTAACCGGGTATTCGTTGCCAACACTAGTTTTTTTCCTTTCTAATAATACACTTTATATGCGTGATGTAGAACAAAAATTTGTATTACATTTTAAACAGTTGGTCTTTTCTTAAATTTAAAATCACACTATCAATTTAATTCGCTCTAGAAATATTTAATTAACTGAATATCTGTAGTACTATTCATAATTCTCAGACATATATGTAGTTCTAAAATCTTTTCGTGCATTTTTTCTTTAAAACTTGTTAGAAATATTTTTTTTTTGTGTATTCTTGTCTTGTAAAAGACTTGGATTATTATCCATCTATTAACGATTTGTCTTCTTTTACATTACAACAAAATGCCGCACTTTAAGTATTTGTACAGGTACATTGCCCTTATTTAAATTTAATATTTTAGCATCGTTCTACTTACATGCATGTTCTTAATGTATTTTTTTCCAGGGAAATTTTATGGATAAAGTAACAGCTAAGTTATAATAATAGAAATATATATACCGTAGATACTTTTTGCATTTAAATAATTATTCTTCAAACACGATATCTTAGTTATTTAATTAAAAAACATGTAAATCCTTACCATCAAAAAGATAAGTCCTTTCACATCGGAGTTCCGAATGACAATGAAGACTGAACGATAAGTGAACGGTGAACGCAAACTAAACGGAACGAAGAGCGAACGGTGAACGTTTTGTGAACGGTGAACGCGAGCGCACGGTAAACGGTGAACGCAAAACTGTGAACGGAGAGCGAACAGTGAGCGCACGCTGAACGTACGGTGAACGAACGCTGAACGAACGGTGAACGAACGGTGAGCGAACGGAAAAATGGGAAAGTAGAACGTTTCAGGGACTGTACTTGTATACTTATACGCCTATAAGTAATCTTCTTATAAACTATCACGTATAAATAATCTATACTATCACCTATAAGTAGTCTTCTGACATATAATCGCCTATAAGTAATCTTCTGACATATATAAATGTGCTCGTACGTCAATACGCAATCTTCTGACACACAATTGCCTATAAGAAACCTATAAGTATACCATAAGTAATCTAAAAGAAATTTTTATTCAATGTTTCGACTCGAAACAACAATATTCATAAAGAGACAGTAATGTGCTTAACTTTGTTAGAGAAAAAAAAAACATCTTGCGAAACTTCTTAAAAAGCTTTTATATCAATGTAATTTGTAACTAAAATTCATGCTATATTAATTCCGGTAGCGTTAAATATCTCAATTACTTTTATGAATTTTGAAAAATATAACTAATGGCTAGACAATTTAATTTCGATGATCCGGGTCGTTACTTTATTTCCTATCTAGACATCAGAATGACTTCTTGGTAATTGAATTTCTTTACATTAAATTCATTCTATAGCTTATAGAATGAAATATTGTATTCCTTTACACGAAAGTTCAAATGAACTAGTTTTATCAGCACTTATAGGTATCAATGAGTTATGTTTACAATATTTAAGGAATGAGGCTTATTTCAACTTATGTTATCCGATATAACATAACTTGGGGCAGTTTGCGCTTTATAAACCGCGAAGCAGTTTACCAGAAAGCGTAAACTGCCCTAAGTTTTGTTATATCGGATAACATCAGTTGAAATTAACTTCATTCCTTATAATTTAATTTCAGTGCAGATAATGAGGCAATATTTCCTCCGGAAAAAGGCTTTAAATTGAGCAATGTTTTAAAAGTAACGTCAAGCGGATTAATACGTATTTGACGTAACTCATTGTGACGTAGGCAAGTTATGTTATACAAAATGTTAATTGTTCCTCTGATGATTCATCCAATGAAATTGCTTGATACAAGTGAAATTAAATTATAAGTCTATATATGTAATTATTCACAGTCTTCATTGTGTGTTATTTTTTACAACCTGTATACACTGACATCTTGAAAAAAAAAAGCTCCTGCCATGGGAGAGGGCTCTTGGTAAACTACTTCAAAAATATGATTTTATTGCATCTTACCAAATGTTTAAAATTTAGATGAAAAAAACAACATTTTGGCACTCGATAAAGGTCAACTAACAAAATTATTTCATTACAAACTTTATAAATTTAGCTTTTCAATTTTCAAAATCTGTAAAATTCAATAAATGAGTAATGTGTTTCTGTAAATTCAATAAAAGACCAGATCCGGAAAGGGGATGAAAATCTGTAAAATTACTTAGTAAGCAGAGTTTAGGTTGAACTAATATTAAGTTTACCAAAATAAACCAACTGTCTAAATCTTTACTTTAAAATTTTGATATTGTGTTTCTTTTGTCTGTCTGTAAGACAATATATAAATCTATGAATGACAAGGAAGATCACCATACATGATTTTTAATTTGTAGCAAAAAGAAATCGTAGCCTTTTCATAATAATATTTCATTTCAGTTATAGTTTATGATATATAGTCAAGTACAGTTTTATATCAAAAATGAAATCCTTCGTTGAGAGTATTATGTTACAATTGTTCCATTAAAAAATATCCTATAATTATATAAAGAAAATATAACATGAAAAAACATGGAAATCAAAACAATGAGAAGACTGAAATAAAACAAAATATTCGTTCTAGTGTATATTTCATATAAAACCATTATAAAAAAATGTATGAAGGGACAACACATATTCCACTTTCAATCTGAATATAGAACATGTACTTTAGTTGTTAACGGATTCCACGATATTTTTGTAACTGCAATTTCTAAATTTCTAGTATAAAAATTTTAACCATATTATTTACATGAAAAAATTAAAGCATCATCTAACTCACTCAAAAAATGTGATTAAGGCAAGTATCTCTGCATTCTTTATATAATTCTAGTAAAGGAGGGACATGGAAACAACGAACAGCATTCAATCTCAACATAAAGAAGTAAACCGATAAATGTAATTTATAAAAATTCTTCTTTACAGTAAAAATGAACATGAACTATGGAAAGATAAATATAATATACAAAGACCGTAAAAAAAAAAAAAACCGCATGAAAAAGTGACATAAAAAATTACCACGATTCAGGATTATCTTGCTTCTATCATCAATTATGCATCTAATTAAGCTTGTGTTTTGAGGGGTCCATGTTCTTGATCCTGATGTGTTTTGCATATTACATTGAAAAAGATCACTTTTCGCTTTCTTCGTCTCTTAGAAATGAATATTTTTTTCTTATACATGCATGGGGAGAGTAGAGAATCAACTTAAATGTTTAACATCTCTACGAAAGATTCTCAACATTTGTTTCATAAATTATTGATATCTACAATATACACATTATGATCTTGTTTCTGTTTACAGAATGCATAAGGAGAGAAAACGACCCATATACAATGTGAATGAAACATTCCTAAATCTTTTTTATCTATTTAAATTTTGGGAAACGCGTTCTTGAAGAATGTCTCTCGGTATTTCTTTCATAAATATTAGCAATAGATGAAAATTCAGTTTTCAATGTACAAATGTATCATAACTGTCTTCATGTTAAGACGTAATTTATGTAATGTATCAAAATGATTTACCTTGATCATCCTTGATGTCTATAAAATGTGAGTGTTCTTTTAAATAATATCAACAAACCTCATGTATATCATTCAGACAAGCAATTTACAATTTCAACAACATTTCACCAGGAATTGAAGCTTGCCCCCTGGCAAATTGAAAAAAAAGTTTTACATTCATTTTTTGCAAGCTGATTGCTATTCTGTCCATCCATAATCCCTTATCAGCAAAAAATCTGAAAAATGATCGACCAAATATTCACACATCTCAATTTTACCAGAACGACGGCATTGATGTAATATTGATTCACAATCGTCCAGTAGGGTGTTGATGTCCATATTTTTCTCAATTAATAGTTTGACTATTTTAACATTGCCTCCTATAGCTGCATCGTGCAAAACTGTCTTACCACAACTATCCTCTAAATCTAAAAAATGGGGACAGATCTCAACTAAGTACTCACACATTTCAAATTTCCCACTGAGACAGGCTATATGCAAGATAGTTGAACAAACATTTGACAAGGCATTTATATCCATCCCTTTTTCTATAAGAAAAGAAACAAATTCAACACTTCCTTCAGTACAAGCTGAATGTAACGCTGTCCATCCCCCATTGTCCCTTTTCGCTAATAAATCTGGAAAATGATTGACCAAATATTCACACATATCTAGTTTACCATAGAGACAGCATAGATGTAAAATAGTTTCACCATCTCCCTGTAGGCTATAGATGTCCATCTTCTTCTCAATCAATAGTTTTACTATTTGAACACTACCTCCCCAGGCTGCATCATGCAACACTGTATTACTAGATTTGTCTTTGACGTCTAATAGATGGGGATAATTCTCAACTAAGTACTCACAAACTTCAAACTTGCCATTGAGACAAGCTATATGTAGGATACTTTTACCATCATTTGACAAAGTATTAATGTCCAATCCTTTATTGAGTAGAAAAGACACAATTTCTACACTTCCTCCCCAGCAAGCTGAATATAATACTGTCCATCCTTCATTATCTCTAACAGAAAAACATGGATACATATTCACAAGATACCTACACATTTCCTCTCTACCCTTAATACAACATTTTTGTAACATTCTCCCCAGTATTTGTCTTACAGTAAACATTTAACCCTATACTTAATAGATACCTAAAAAGATCTACGTTGCCACCTATAGCTGTGTAATGGAGGACATTGCCACCATTATTGTCACAGACATCCAGTAATTGAGGGTATCTGTTTAATAAATATTCACACATATCATAATGACCATTTCCGCATGCAGCGTGCAGGATAGTTTGACCTGAATTATCTGTTTTATCTCCCTTTGGTTTATTGTCACTTGATATATGTAATATATTTTCATCCTCAAAGAGGTTAAGCATATATTCAAACATATCTATGTTTCCACTGAAAGCTGCCCAATACAAAAGACTTTTTCCACGAATATCTGTGTGTTCCTGGAGTAATGCAGGATATTTCTCAATGAGATATTTGACCATGTCTGTCCTACCTTTTTGACAAGCACAAGTAAGAACGGTGTGACCATTGTCTCGATCTTTTTCATATGGATCACAGCCAAGCTTTAATAAAAGATTGAATGCATGTTTGTCTCCAGAACTTGCTGCAGACTGTAAAGCATTGGCACCTTGGTCATTTTTTATATTTACAAGAAATGGATATATTGACAGAACCTGTTCAATTAATTGTGTTTGTTGCATAAAACATATCTCCTGCAGTAAGCCATGCCTTATATGTTTCCAGACAGGATGCAAGGAATGAGAAATTTGACGAAGATCAACAGACTCACACACTTGGAGTAATAATTCTATATTACCACTTTGTACAGCATGAAAACACGTTTGAAGATCACAATCCACACCTGATGACAAAATAAGATTAACAATACTTGGTTGATTTTTAGAGCAAGCGGCGTTTATTGATCTGTATCCTTGTCTTTTTTCTGAATTCGGAAGTAAATATTCAACCCACCGCTTATTCCCTACCTTCGAAAAATGCACAACCACTGAATCACCGTTGGTATCACGACATGTTTTAAACTTCGAAGTGCATTCTTCAGATTGTAATACGTGCTCATGGAAGTTCGAATCATTCCATAAATCCAGTGATGATATGGAAGAATATCCAATTACATCCCCTTTTTCAATTATATTTGCAATGCGGCGGGCAACATATTTAAACAATCCTTGTTCTATGTAGACTTGTGTACTTTTGGGGTTTTTACATGTGGTCAATGTCATAAGTAAGGACGGATAACACATTTGGATCATTTTTTCAGGATTTGATAAAAACAAGACACTGAAAATAGACTCTTGTACTGAACTATGGGCAAACTTATAAATATTTTCTATCGTGTCATGAGTTATTAAAAAACCTTCAAAACACAAAATACTGTCTTCGAAATCGTTAACATACGAGTTTTGCAGACCTGCAAATTCTAAGGAGTCGCGCTTCAGCTCTAAATCCCGTCGGGGATTATGAATTAATTCGAACTCTACTTTTCCTCCATTCAGAAGAAGATACACTAAAACAGCGGTTTTTACAGTTCTTTTTTTCAATAAGGTTTTGAAGTAGTCTCTCATAAACGTCATTGCATTTGGTAAAAATGCAATGACGTTTTGTTTAAAATCTTCATTGCCTCTTGCCAATTTACAACATTGTGGAAACCCTATAGCTAGTGGCATTTCAGATATTTTATAGATGAGCTTTTTGTCTTTTATATATTCAGATAGTTCATACTTTTCTGATAGCTGTAGGATCTCGTCCGTGAGCAATGCATTTTCCTTGCTTGATAGGTCAACCAAGGACGACATCAAAAAATCGTTATCGCACTCGTTTTGTACACATTCCTGATATATATCATTTCGAAGTGTAAATATCAGTCTGTTAGATTTATTATCAATATCATTTTCAATTAAAACCTTTGTCATATCTGCTCTAGCTTTACATTCTTGAACGTCATCGTTGTACAAAGTAAACTCACCAAATAAATTGTCAATAAATACCACTATACCATCACCTGGTGATATGTTTTCATACAAGTCTGTTAACTTGTAAAGCTGAAGAGGAGAATTCCCCTCATCCATCAATTCTTTCATTAACATCTTGGCGATTGTGGTTTTTCCAGTCCCGGGGTTTCCCTTGATGACGACATAACCGTTATTGTCCAACAGTTCCTTGGCTCTCTCAAACGCATGAGTTTTTACAAATAGATGACCAACAGCTTCATAATGTTTTTGTATCATTTTCTTAGTTGTTTCTGAAAAGAAATGATAGTTATCTTTAAGGAACATGGACTTAATGTCTCTAAGATTCCAGAATTTATCTATTTATTAATTAACGGTGATATGCTCAATGGTATGTGCAGAATTGTATTGTTGCTTTAAGTCAAGAGTGTTTTAGCTTCAAAGATAATTAATCAATTAAGACTACAGGAATTATATTGTATACAAGAGGCCCATGGGCCACATCGCTCACCTGGGTACTGTGCCTAGGACAAAATCGATTTAGTAAATGCCTAAGTGGTCCCGATCCTAAAAAGGGGGTATGATTTGAGCAAACTATGCAAACTTGAATGGATACTAACTAAGGACGCTTATATATTTGTTTGACGAACTGTGTCTTTTCCCTATTAGTTTGAACTTTTATTGTGGTCCCACCCAACCGGGGGTAAGAATGCGTGGGTCATGATTGTAACAAATCTGCATCTAAACTACCCGAGGATGCTTCCATATAAACAAGACCAATCATCTTTTTTGTTCTTGAGAATATTTTTCATATTTAGAATACTCGTATGTAAAATTGTGATTGTCCATACTGGCCGCACCCCACTCCCGGGAGTCATGATTTAAACAATCTTGAATCTTCACTATAACATGGATGCGTCCCTATAAATATGACGAATTATGTCTTTGCTGTTCTCAAGAAAAAGTTTTTTTTAAGATTTTTTTGTTTGCTTTATATATCTATGTAAAACTTTGATTGGTCATTGTGGCCCGCCCTAGCCCCAAGGACATAATTTGAACAATTCATGAATCTACACCACCTGAGTATGCTTTTTTTTTTTTTTTTAAAAAATCCTTTACAAATCTGTGATCGTCCATTGTGGCCCCACTTAACCCCTAAAGATCATGATTTAAATAAACTTGAACTTATACTACCTGAGTTTCATCTTTCCTGGCAGAGTGGTTCTTGTGAGGAAGATTTTTAAGAATTTCATTTTTTAAAGAAATTCTTAATTGTCTCACCCTGTAATTGGGCATGGTACTTCATTTGAACAAATTTGAATCCCCTTCACCTAATGAAATTGTGAAAAGCTTTCAGACGGACAGACAGGAAGACGCTGGACAAAATGTGATCACTTGCTGGTGTTAAAATCATCTAATAATTAATTTCACAGAACTGACACATATGATTAATGATATATAAATCAACGAATTCATGAAGAAAAATTAAAAAAGGAAATACATCCTCCGCATTTTTCAATAAGTATGTTAATGAAAGGAACACGGATATTAATTTCTTTCATTAGGCCTTTAAGACCAGGAATTTTTCCATAACATAAACAAACATGCATTATTAACAAACTAAATTTTGTTGTCTTTTGTTACCAGTAGGCATCCTGGAATATCTAAATATGAAATATCAAGCCATTTATTTAATATCTATTTTATCTAAATATTATCCTACCGATCTTTTTTGCAAGTCTTGGATCTACAAAACAATAATAAATCTGTAAAAGAAGTTATATTTCATGATATATTCATCAGAAAATTTATAATGGACTGAAGTCAGCGAGTTTGTTTATTTAAAGAATGCATTGCGAAACAGGAATGTATAAACTCTTTCTAAGAACCTGAGCATAGTTGTCGCATTTTGCTATTTCATGAAATCCCACATATCGTGCATTACTGATGTGCTTTGTAGTATCAGTAATACTTTTCATTGTGGCAAACTGGATTTCCTGTTTTGATCATCTCATTTATACGAATTCATGAATCTACACCACCTGAGTATGCTTTTTTTTTTTTTTTTTAAAAAATCCTTTACAAATCTGTGATCGTCCATTGTGGCCCCACTTAACCCCTAAAGATCATGATTTAAATAAACTTGAACTTATACTACCTGAGTTTCATCTTTCCTGGCAGAGTGGTTCTTGTGAGGAAGATTTTTAAGAATTTCATTTTTTAAAGAAATTCTTAATTGTCTCACCCTGTAATTGGGCATGGTACTTCATTTGAACAAATTTGAATCCCCTTCACCTAATGAAATTGTGAAAAGCTTTCAGACGGACAGACAGGAAGACGCTGGACAAAATGTGATCACTTGCTGGTGTTAAAATCATCTAATAATTAATTTCACAGAACTGACACATATGATTAATGATATATAAATCAACGAATTCATGAAGAAAAATTAAAAAAGGAAATACATCCTCCGCATTTTTCAATAAGTATGTTAATGAAAGGAACACGGATATTAATTTCTTTCATTAGGCCTTTAAGACCAGGAATTTTTCCATAACATAAACAAACATGCATTATTAACAAACTAAATTTTGTTGTCTTTTGTTACCAGTAGGCATCCTGGAATATCTAAATATGAAATATCAAGCCATTTATTTAATATCTATTTTATCTAAATATTATCCTACCGATCTTTCTTGCAAGTCTTGGATCTACAAAAAAATAATAAATCTGTAAAAGAAGTTATATTTCATGATATATTCATCAGAAAATTTATAATGGACTGAAGTCAGCGAGTTTGTTTATTTAAAGAATGCATTGCGAAACAGGAATGTATAAACTCTTTCTAAGAACCTGAGCATAGTTGTCGCATTTTGCTATTTCATGAAATCCCACATATCGTGCATTACTGATGTGCTTTGTAGTATCAGTAATACTTTTCATTGTGGCAAACTGGATTTCCTGTTTTGATCATCTCATTTATACGATTATCATGACATGCAACTTATATGAGATATTTACTGTGAAGCGCCAATTCTCTTCGCATCATCAGCATATTACCTAAGAAATAGGAATAGATACAATAAATTAAAAGTTAGATATTTTTTTTTGATAATTTTTATATTTCAACATCTGATAATTATCAATCTGATGAAATGTTTATTAAGTATTATGATAAGTTATGTCTAAAATCTTGAATGCTTTGCCATTCCTGTCTAAATTCATCAAAATATTCCGAGTAAACTGATGCAAGAATCATTAAGCCATAATGACAGGAAGGATTATAATTACTTACTCGATAAATGATCCACAGTTATATGAAGTTCCGTGATATCTCCAAGTAAGTCTATGTATTTTTTCTCTTGTTCTGGGTCCATGGAGCAGGTTTTTATCGTGTTGACTGCATCTTGGTACACCTTAGTGTTTCCTAAGTGTCGCTCTAGCTCCACTACAATGTCCCGGATGTTCCGCCATTCCTGTCTAAATTCTGACTCGGACAGGGACAAATCAGGTGAATGTCCGTAATACTTGTTTCTAATGAGGCGAATTCTTTCAATGTTGGCTGCCACGCTTCTGTCTCCGGGATTCGGAATCTCTCCCCAACCTTTGGAATGTGATGATATTTTACTTACATTGCGTAGAAGTAAATACAAAAAAGATATGTCTAAGTCTGAGTAATCACTACTGTATTGTTTCGTGTGTTTGGGGAAAATTATCTCTGATTGTGTTTTGTTGAGTGGATTTCTTTGTCCATGTAAAAGTTTATCTGTAAATTCTTTAACCTTTCTAGACAAATCAGATGGTTTCACTTCTGTCTTTAGAATGTCACGTAACACATCAGTACATGGACCCAGTATAAGTCTCGCCAGTCGAGCAGTGTTTGTTGTTTCTGGTGTAGAGGTGTAGCACTTGGATAAAGACATGATCTGACTGGATTCACTACGTTTAATAGTTGAAATGTCAGGGCTCTATCTTCGCCATTAAATGAATACAACCTTTAATTAAAAAAAATATTTTCAATTATACTTTTTTATCACATCCTTACTTTCAAAACAATTTTTTTTAATTTTGTATGATTAGATTTATAACAGATGGATAATAACTCAACTATTTTTTTACTAAATAAACTCAATTTGGTTCGAACAAATTTACTCAGCAAAGTATTTACAATAGTATATAAGGTTTCAAAAATTGAGAATCAACATTTTCATATGTGATAAGTGCATGTTATGCAATTAGATAATAATAATAATAATAATAATAATAATAATAATAATAATAATAATAATAATAATGATACTTCATTTAAAGAGGGTGACACGATTAATGCAAAAAAATATAATAAATATGTATACATTTACAAATAAACACAATCAAGAAATAATCATAAATTATTTTGACATTTTTTATACTACATTTTTTGACTAGATAGTTGAAGGCATTCAGTGTTTGAGATTTTTTATATATATATAAAAAATCAAAGTACTGAGACAGTACTGAAAGACGGGGTCAAAATAATTTTCATGCTAGATTTCACAAATTTGAGGGTTTTTTAAACGATTTTTGATAATTTTTAGAATCAACATACTAAAAAAACAATACAAATTCGCGTTTTTCATTTAATTTGACGTACAAATTTCAATAATTGCTAAGTCTAGAAACCTTTTTGAACCGTCCGAATTTCACGTGGTCCAAATTAATATTTTTCTGGAAGTAAACAATGGATGATGCAGGAGAGTAATTTGTTTACTAGTGTGTATTATAATTAATATTTTGAGCTTGCATTTACAAAATGCTTCATAAATTTGATTTAAAAAAAGTTCATATCACTTTCTTCAGTATGATACAGAATTTTCATATTTTTATCAAAACAATTTCTGCAATCTTTGATATATCACGTGACCCCATCTAATAAACAATTTCTAAAGACAGCACCAGAGGATTTGATGGGTTTATATTTATAAAATGGTACACACAGGTCTAAGCTATATTCAGATCGAAGACGGTATCTATTATTACAATGGAAATCAAACATGCTATTTAGATAAGTATGGTAAGAGTGCAACATTTCAAAAAATATGGAATGCAGAGGAAAAACTTAAATTTTTTATATGATTAATTCGTACAGGAAATTTTAAGTACTTCCCGTTAAAAAAATATTTTGTATTAAATCAGAACGTAGAAAAAAGTACCTAGTGAAAAAAAAATAGATGACAGCTTAACAAAAATGTATGATACTTCTTAATACCAATTCTACGTAAATATCAAAATGACGTGGCCACGCGATGTCTTGGATTCAGCTAATTTTTTTCTTACTGAAACTTCAACGCATGAAAAGATTGACTATATGAAAGAAAGCATGGTAGTTTATCCGGTTGCCATGGAAACGGGACTAGAAGGTGTAAATTATAGTGGATATTGCTATTTATCAATAATATCAAAAAAATATTTACTAGACAAAGCTGTTTATGTTCATATTTTTTTATATCCTTCATGACAATCAAAACTATGTAAAAAATAGCCAAGGTCACAAAAATTTTACAATTTCTAATTTTCTGATGCCAAAAAGTGAATAATTAGTCGTCGTTACCTCCCTTGTTAGACTTAATATTTAAAGACTTTGACAAGTGATGTGAAAATTCTAGAAGGGAGATTTAGATTCAAGAAATGTTATTTTGCAAATATCTTTTAAAACATTTATGGGTAAATGAAAAATAAACATTTTATTACACTATAAAGTTGGTCTAAATGTGCTTTTTCTCTGTCCGAGTTATTTCCCTTGTTGGAGCTCTTCGGCATTGAAGAATACAAAATGTGTAAATTGTAAACAAGATGGCAGACAATGAAATCTGCAGTTTTTCTTCTTGTTTTGAAACATCTTGTTCAGGAAAATTCTACCTCAAGAGACTCAGAATTTGATGAAAAACAGTTGACAAAGTTGGGATAATCTTTAAGAAAAGCGAAAGGGTTGATCTGGACATGATGAGTATTACACGTATAGCTACTCGTAGAAAAGAAAATATGAGGATATCAGGGTGGTATATGGGGGCGAAGGCTGAGAGGATTTTAGCTGTTTCCTTCAAGGTGTCTTTGAAATAGAGATCGAGAGATACATGTAGTGGTGTGGTAGTCCCCGACCGATCCCGATTGCAATGTGTAAGTATTTTTTTTATTCATAATTCTATTCAGGTGTCACATGTACCTGCATGGTAACTGATAATCCGAGATTCCTCTGACTCTAACCCCCGCTTTTATATTGTGACTTGTGCGCACAAGTCACAATATAAAAGCAGGGGTTAGATTCAGAGGAATCTCGGATTAGGTAACTGACAGTATAATGAAACATAAGGCAATAAAAACGAACAAAACCATGAAAACTTGGATGCACAGTTGCACATATTACATGTACATGACATTGAATCAAATACTACTGCGCAATATATTATGTGCCCGTTTTGGGTACTGGTATTTTATTTTCTATAAAATTCAGTATATTTGAAGAAAATTGTATGAATTTATTTTTCCAAATGATAATATGCTTGTGTCCAATCTATTTTTACAAACAGGATTTGAAGGAATAAAACCTCGGAAATATTAAACCTTTGACTTCTGACAATGATAGCTGAATAGTGTGTTAGATTTTTTTGAAATTTTAGGCAATATCAGGACTGTAGAATATTTTAAAGAATTGATTAAAAAAGGTGTAAGTGTAAAATTATGAAAGTACATGCAGACACACAGATTTACAGATGCTAATAGTGTTCTAGATCTAAGTACATATACTTTGTCATACTATTGTGAAATCATTTTTGGGACTTTGATACAATGGAGTTATTTGCTCTGCAAGGTGATGTATTGTAAAGTAGGTAAAGAAATCTATCCAAGGGTATTAGAATATGGCAACTCCATTTGTACTTTCCAGGATGCAGCTTTCTGTCTCATAATTTTAATTTTACTGATCACTGTTTTTCAGCTATATATTGCAGGTATATCAATCTTGCACACAATTTAAATATGAATAGTTTTAGTTTGACAATATTGATCTGTACAGATGAGATCATTCTGATGCTGTGTACTTTACATGTCAAGGACATATTGTACAAATTAAAAATAGTCGCATTAAAGAACAAAATAAATTATACCACATTACATTAGTATCTACAAGTTAAATTGATGCAAAGCATCAAATCGGCCGCAAACGAAATATTTAGCATTAAATAATTTTTTTCACAATTTTCAAAGTGCTCATGCAAGGAAAGCGCGTCAAGATATTCAAAGGTGAAATAGTTGAATCATTTTTATTTTAGGCTGTCTTCAAAGCAAAATAAATAATTAAATAAAATTAAAACAAATAGACATTTTACCGCATTTGCTTATAAATAGATTCATCAATGTTAAACAGGTCAGCGATAAATGATAAGAATTTATTGTCATCAAAATGAAGATGTACATAGGTCTCTCAAGATGAACCACGTGCTGATACGATCGATCTTGGTCACGTGATAATGCCCATGGCTAAGGCCGCAATGCAAAATGTAGAAAAATGTCTTTGTATTTAATTTGCAGCTCTAGAGCATGTTCAAAACAATTTTTACTGGTTGAAATTTTCTTTTTATAATTCTTATTCACCATGCACTTTTACACTTCATTATTATCCGGAAAATCATGACGATTTCCTTTCATATCTTATGCACTCCCAGGCTGGGGAGTATCTATTGTAAACTCTCTTTACATAACAATAAATTATCGATTATCAGATTAGAAATGATAATTAAATTGAATCATAGTATCAGCAATTAATACTTAGTTTAAAGCAATTTTTAAAAATATTTTACTCATGATTTTTACTTTTTATCATTTGAGAAATATTTCCCTGACCTAATGAAAAATAACGTCTCATTTCCCCATGTGCACTTTCTAACACAATCACAAATAGATCGGCCGCTGCTGCGGCCGATAATAAAACATGTATGTTTTTATTACAATTAAATTATGATATAAATAAACTTCATTTTCCACTTTAGAAATTAATTGTTGTCAATTCATTTCTACTCTTAGTCTCTATATCTCTGGCGATTTGTCCAAACTGCAGAAAAGCTTTATATGTAAATTGAAAAAAAAAATGCTTGATGACAACATTAAATCCACTCCTTTATCAATCATTCCTCTTGATTCAGAAAATTTTCAGGATAACATGTAAACATTAGGTACATGTAATATATATATATGATGTTCAAAATTTTAACCCTAACTTTCAAATTAAAAAATAATTTTTAATTGATCATTGCAGCCCTTGCAAGATTTTCCTAATGAAGATTCTAAGGATTACAGATCCTCTAGCAAGGAGACCACACAGGTACATGTATTGTGTATTAAGTTGCATGGATTCATGGTGACTTAAGACATGATTGCCACAACAATGCATAAAGGGAGATAATAATGCTTATAGGTTGAAAATGTATATGTTTTATACATAGCAAAATTTTAAGATTCCAGTTTTACGTTTTTGAAACAATTTTTAAATGAATTTTTAGCTCACCTCAACGAAGTTGGGGGAGCTTATGTAATACCCTCGGCGTCGGCGTCGGTGTCGGTGTCGGCGTCGGCGTCCCGGGTTAAGGTTAAGTTTTTTGGAGCAGTTTTCTTTTTAAGAACTTCTATGTCCTATATTGATTAGACATGCATGGAAGATGGTTCTAGTGTGTTTCATTGATCCAGTCAAAGTTTCAGATGCTGCAATTTCAGCAAAGGAATGACCAGGTTAATGTTTTGGAGCAGGTTAACATTTTTGGTGCAGTTTTTGGTGTAGGTTTCATTTCCAAGTAACTATAAGACCTATGTTGACCAAACTTGCATGGATGATACATCTAATGATGCATACTACCGGGCTTGCTTCGGATGCTGATTCTGACCTACATTTTCTGGTTGAGTGAACAGGTTAAAGTTTTTGGTGCAAGTTTCATTTCCAAGTTACTATAAGCCCTATGTTG